GCCGGGACCGGCCATGCACCCGGGGCTGGCACCTGCCACACACCCAGGGGCAGGGCCAGCCCAGATTGCTCCGCGGGCGCATGTAAAGATCCCGGCGGGCGCCATGGCACCCGTGGGCACCGGGTTGGGGACCACGGCCCTACACTGTAATTTATTACTGAAAAAGTTCAGAGAAATAAATTGACAGTGTGACTTCTAACATGTCTTGTTGGACTGTATCCATGGAACTTCAGTGAGGCAGAACAAGGCAAGATCACAGCACAGCCAACCTTTGGAAACCAGAAAGTTATAGTTCTTGATACCTATAAAGCTATAGTTCTTTAGTTTAGGAGAACTAACCACACCTTTTATTTTCATTAAGAATAAAATGAGTCTTCCCCAATTCTGGTTGTAGAGATGGCCTTAAAAATGGAAACGAAAGCAACCCAATCATTAGATCTGAGAACTTCTCACTGGGTTCCTTGAGGCTGGGCTGCCCTATGAAGCCAGTCTCTCAATAGCTGAGGGCAAACCCAGAGTAATATGGGTGACTATACCATCTCTGCACCTTTCTCCTTGTCAAGAGTTCTTTGGGTCATGCCTCTCCTGCCTTCCTCTCACTCTGCAAATCCACCACACTCCTGGAATTACTGCATCCTCTTCATAGTTTGGCTCTCTAGCTGGGCCACCATATGCATTTCCCCCATCAGGGGTGACTCAAAGCCCTTCTAGGGCATGCAAATAGTCCCAGGCAGTCTTTGCAAGTGATGACCTGCTGGCCAGTATGGAGTCTGGGCCCTCCCTCCACTCTGGTTTTCAGTCTAGGGACACACAGCTTAGAAGTTCTGGGATGTATCCTCTCATCCCTCACTGCTCCTTCTCTGGATTGCCGCCTACTCTTCCTGATCTCTTCCCTTTTCAGGGAGTACTAGTGCCAACCCAACTCCCTCCTTCCATGGATTGGCTGCCCTTTCCCAGCTGCCCCATCTGTTGCCAGCCATCTGGCTGTAAGCAAGTCCTGCCATTTCCTGCACGGCAGAGCCTGCTTGCAGTGAATCAGCTCTCTACTCCTCCTCCTGTGGCCACCTTAACTCCCTTTCACTCCATGATTGCCAGGGGTCCAGTTTTCAACCAGAATGCCCAGTCAAAAAGGGCCATTAGAAGTACAGCTGGTGGTGCAAGAGGGCTAAGACAGGAACTACTCAATCTTGATGGCTCCTGCACTGTATGGTGGATTGCCTGCCTCCAAGGCTCACAGCAACCCTCAGTTTAGGCTCCACAACTAGGCTATGTCTACACTCACGACTTCTTGTGCAAGAAAACGTCCACACTGTCATGTGCGAGCTGTGCTTTTGCACAAGAATGCCCACGGCAGTGTGGACGCTCTCTTGCGCAAGAAAGCTCTGATGGCCATTTTAGCCATAGGGCTTTCTTGCTCAAGAAATCCCTGCTGAGCATCCACACTGCCCTCTTGCACAAGAGCTCCTGCGCAAGAGGGCTTACACCTGTCAAAAAAGAGCGTAGCTCTTGCGCAAGGAGCCCTCTTACCACGCCGTACTGTAAATTTCCTTGCGCAAGAGCGGGCGGGAAGTGTGGATGCTCTGCAGATTCTTGCGCAAGAACGGCTGTACTTGCGCAAGAAGCCTCAAGTGTAGACATAGTCCTAGGCAATCAGATTGCCTTTTTTTTTTAAGCTATTCTCATCATTGGCCAGCATGATATATTGAGGGAAATATGCATGTGCAGCGTGCCAAACCGCACGGCTGATGAATGGGGCTCGCCGCTGCTTGGCGAGCCCTGGGTATGCAAATGAAGCTCAGCAATATTCCATGTTTAGCCTCATTTGCATTTTTCTGGCACAAGAACTCACCAGTGTAGACATAGCCATATATGAGTTTTCTCGGCAAAAAATACACTAATGAGGGACTCATTTGCACGAGTCACAATTTCATTTGCATATTTTCTGCCAATCTGTTTTTTTGCTAGGGTTTTTGCACAAAAACAAGCACTGTGGATGTTTTCTTTTTGTGCAAAACCCCCTTTTTCCACAAGATCAGTATACCTCCTTTTTGGAAGCTCTGGCTGCAACAGCTTCCTTTAGGACAGTGGGCCCCCCTTCCCCAAAAAAGGAGGTAGTGTAGCCATAGACCTAGACTCTCAACAACCCATCTTCCTCACACACTAATGGTAGAGAAGCCTATTTATAACCAGTCTCAAATGGTTCTTTAATTGAACCCAGGTATTCTAACTAGCCTACACTCACTTAAGTATGCAATCCTACTTAATTAGCTCCAGGTGCTCAATTGATCTGGCAAGTTCTCACTGGTTCTGGACTAGCTCCTGCCAGTTACCCTGGGAACAGAGATTTACTCAGTCTGAGACTAATACACCTACCTTATTTTGTATACCTTTGGGATGACCCTTCACACTGCAGCAGAGGACCATTGGTGGTTCAATGTTTCTGACCACTTTTCCTGCCATGCATTGGCTGGAATCTCCATGCCCGCTCACGATACCACAGACAGATGTAACAAGACACATCTAGTACCAGTTATCCAGGGACAGACATAACACTGCTGCGCTTACTGCTGCTCACAGACAAAACAGGTCCAGGGACACAGTAATGGCTGCCAGTTGTTTAGATAAAAATACTAGTCTCCTTACATACCTGTGCCCGGGAATAGATAGATATAACAGATCTCCATAGTTACATGGTGTTCAGAGAAATGAAAGTGTCCTTATAAGTTCTAGAGAGAGATTAATAGATGTAAGGCCAGGAAGGAGCATTGGATCATTGTTTGACCTGATGCTGAACAGTCAGAGAGCTGTATAGTATTGAGCCCCGTAGCAAAGGGCAACCTGTTGTGAACAAGACAATAGAACAAATGCTTTTGGAGGTCATGAAACTATCTTCATAGGAGGTTTTCAAAGCTGACTAAGGAGCCATCTGTCTTGGATAGTTTGAACATCATAAATCCTGTATCATTGCAGGGGGTTAGACTAGATAACTCTGGCAATCCCTTCTAACCATGGGTAGTGCATAATGGAGGCTGGGGGTGAGGTTTAAACCTCTCCAAACTTTGTGCTGCTGGGGAAGGGGCAGTGGTGGATTACTACATGAACCCATATCCAGGTGCATCTACTAATTTGGGGCCCCTGGAAAAGTCTCCTCTTGTTATACAATTTCCTTCTAAGCTGTACAGAAATGTAGCATGGGTTGTGAAGGTGCTCAGGGCTGCATCAGAGAGAGACCTGTCTCCCTTCGCCCCAGACCTGCTGCACCAGGGAGTGGCATCTCTCCTCTGACCCCAGCCCCAGACCAGCTAAGGTTGGTAATGGAGCCTTTCTCCTGACTTCTGACTGGACCTCTTGAAGTGGGGACTGGTACCTCTCCTGCTGTGCTGGGGAGAGGTGCCTTTCTCTCTGAGCCTAAGTGCTGCTATGAAGAGAGCGTGGGGGTGTCCTCTCTCTCCACTGCAGTCTTGGGGTAGCCTGAACCCCAAATCTCTCATCCCTGGCCCCTCTCCAGAGCCTGCACCCACAGGTGGCTCTCTTACCTCTCATGCCCCAACAATTAGCCCCAAAATCCTTATTCCCAGCCCCACTCCTGAGCCTGTACCCCAAGCCAAAGTTCAACACCCTCATTTCACACATGCATGGGAAAATCAGAGAGGACCTGGCCCACCATGGCCCAGAGCTGGAGGATCTGCTGCTGCCTGCTGTGGCCATGGAGTAGGGGTGGAAAGTAGTGAGTGAGGGGAGGAGTGAGGGCTGAATGAGGGCAAATCCATAAGAGGAAGAGGTGGAATGGCACTAAGGCCACAGGAGCAAATGGGGGCAGGGGCAGGAGGAGGGGAGGGTTGGGATGGGATGGGATGGGGTTATGGGTGGTGCCTCAGGCAATGGGCTTCAGGCTCAGAGCTCCAGCCAGGGCTGAGCTCCGTGACCCCCCTGAGGCCATGAGTGGGGGCATGGCTTCAGCCAGGAGAGGCTGGAAGAGGCAGGGCTTGGGGCTAGCCTTCTCAAGAGGAAGCTGCACATGCTGCCCAGGCTTCTCTGAGACTAGGATCTGAATGCACCAACAGAGTAAGATTATACCACACAGCTTCCAACAGCTAATCACCCTCACTGCTGACAGTGTTGTGCCTTGTTGCTTGTTTCAGCCTTTTTGGCTTTAACTTCCAGCAATTGGTTCTTGTTCTGCCTTTTTCCATGGGATCAAAGACCATTTAATACTAGTCATTTTTCTTCCTATGAAGGTACCTACACACTGGGATCAAGTCAGCGCGTGACATTTTTGTAAGCAAAACACACTAAGTTCCTTAAGTCTCACCCGAGGCTTTTTCTCAGTTCTTGAACTTTGTGGAAATGCTCTGCTTCCTCTCTAATTTTTCAACAGTTTCATAAAAGGGGGATATCAGCAGTGAGGGTACATCTACACTAGCCCCCTAGTTCGAACTAGGGAGGCTAATGAGGGCGACCGAATTGCTAATGAAGCGTGGGATTTAAATATCCCGTGCTTGATTAGCATATTCCTGGCCGGTCGCCATTTTGGAAACTGACTAGCCCGAAGTAACTGCCCGTGTCTACATGTGGCAGAAAAGCAGAATTCTGAGAGGAACCCCTTAGTTCGAATTAATTGTTAAACCTCGTGGAATGAGTTCGAACTCGGGGGATAGTGTAGACGTACACTGAGTGCGGTATAGCAGCACTGGTCTCATCAAAGCCACAGAGAAAGATAAAATCAATTCCCCACTTCTATTCATCACTCCCTGTTTTTAAGTCCAAGCATTGTGTCAGCATTCTATCATAGTATCACACTGGGAGCTCATGTTAAGTTGTCTGTTCACTGTGACCCATAAGTCCTTTCAGAGTCACTGCTATCCAGCATAAAACCCCCATTCTATAACCATGGTCTCCAGTCTCTGTATACAAGCTGGAATCAGCCATGATGGTTTCCGTGATTACCAGTTGACTGAGTAATCTTTATTAAACTAAACATTAGTTCTGTCTTTTTACAGGAACATATTGCAATGGAACATTTGATAACTTGGTTTGCTGGCCTCATTCACTTCCAGGAAATGTGTCTGTTCCTTGTCCTCCATATATATCTGGGCTGGAAAACGGTAATGTGATTTCTCTTTTTTCAAAAGATTCATTTTGGGAATCTGCATTGCAGGAGGGAGTTGTCAGACTAAACATTAGTTCTGTCTTTTTACAGGAACATATTGCAATGGAACATTTGATAACTTGGTTTGCTGGCCTCATTCACTTCCAGGAAATGTGTCTGTTCCTTGTCCTCCATATATATCTGGGCTGGAAAACGGTAATGTGATTTCTCTTTTTTCAAAAGATTCATTTTGGGAATCTGCATTGCAGGAGGGAGTTGTCAGATCAGGCTCTGCTGTCCTGGAATTTCGCGGGGGGTGGGGGAGCAGGGGGCGGGGAGGGAGATTGTTTGGGGCTCTTGTTCACCTTCTCCTTTCTGGCTAGCCACCAAGGTCATCCTACTGCAATATGCTCCAAGCCACGTAGGGATGAGCAGTGATCTTCCCTGCACCCTTTCCCCCTTCTCTTTCTTATGTTTCAGTCACTTTAATACCAAAAAGTCTCAATAGAGTATTGGCTTTTAAGAAAGACTTTAAGAATCCTTCACACTCCTTTCCCCCAGCAGTATCCTTGACTTCAGGGAATCCTGGGGTGGTAACTGAAGGCCAGTGTCCAATCTATAGCTCTGACTTCTGGCTCTCAAAAGCAGCTGTGGTGAAAAGAAGTGTTACAGGATGGCTAGCCCCATAAAGGCCTGGAGGCCTGTGCCATAATTGCCTGCTTTCCTGCTCAAAGTGCAGGACTAGTTGTGATCTGGGGACTGCTAGGAACACCTGCAACTCATAAAAAGACTGAGGGAACCCAGTGTTGGTGAGGGAGAGGAGCAAGCTGGGTCTGGAGGGATTCAGTGCTGTAGCCCAGATGGTGTTTAAGGCTATGAGATGGACTCCAGAGTCAGAATAACTTAAATATAATCCCAAAGAGTCTGGGAATTTACACCAGCAGGTGAGTTGAAGAGGCACCAAGAAGGGTAAGAGAAAGTTTTGCTTGGATTTTTGTTATCTCCAGAAGGGGATTGAACTCTGACAATGGCCCAGCTGGATCTGAGGCACATGAATCCCTGGAAGTATCAGAAAGCCATAATGATGGGAAACTGAGGCAGGGAGTGCACCTCCAGTATCATGCTTCACTATGGCGTACCAGGGGGTAGCTATGCCTTATGACAAAAATATTTTATTTGATTAGGAACTAAAAATGTGTCTTGCAACATTTAAACTGACCTGGATCTTAAGTGGCACTTCTCCAGCTGCCTCCCACCTCCTCCTGTGCAGCACCAGAAGAGGTAAGAGGGGGTGAGAGGAGAGGACCTCCAGCTGGTCCATCTTCTGTTTCCAATCAGGAGCAGGACAGGAGTTCAACTTGCACTGCCTGAGCCACCGCACCTCTGGCAAAGGACAACTCTCCCTTCTCACACCCCCTGGGAAGCTCAAAAACCAGGAAAGGAGGAGAAGCTGGGCCATAAGACAGTTACAGGTCCCTGCCTGCCCCAGCAATAGCATCTGGGGGCTGGTTCTAATTTGCATCCATTGCTTATAGACCCCAAAGGAGCACACAGGGCATGTCTACACTGCAATAAGACTCACACAGCTGGTCCTTGGCAGTCAGATTAAGGACTTTGTAATTGTAGTGTAGATGTTCTGGTTTGGACTGCACCTGCAGCCCTGGAACTCTTCTACCTCACAGGGTCCTAGAGATGGAGCTTCATAATGACACGGAATATCAACACCAGAATTAAATAGCCCCTTAGTATGAGTTCTAGTAGCCCAAGACAGTACCATGGTCCAGCTATGGGTTTTCATTTCTGTGTGGACATACATAATCATCAAGAGGAAGACCAAGAACAGGGTAGGCCCACTGATCAGTGAGGAGGGAAAAACAGTAACAGGAAACTTGGAAATGGCAGAGATGCTTAATGACTTCTTTGTTTCAGTCTTCACCGAGAAGTCTGAAGCAATGCCTAACATAGGCTAGTGGGAAGGGGGTAGCTTTAGAAGATAAAATTAAAAAAAAGTTAAAAATTGCTTAGAAAAGTTAGATGCCTGCAAGTCACCAGGGCTTGATGAAATGCATCCTCGAATTCTCAAGGAGCTGATAGAGGAGGTATCTGAACTTCTAGCTATCATCTTTGGAAAATCATGGGAGACAGGAGAGATTCCAGAAGACTGGAAAAGGGCAAATATAGTGCCCATCTATAAAAAGGGAAATAAGAGCAACCCAGGAAACTACAGACCAGTTACTTTAATTTCTGTGCCAGGGAAGATAATGGAACAAGCAATTAAGGAAATCATCTGCAAACACTTGGAAGGTGGTAAGGTGATCGGGAACAGCCAGCCTGGATATGTAAAGAACAAATCATGTCAAACCAATCTGGTAGCATTCTTTGATAGTATAACGAGTCTTGTGGATAAGGCAGAAGTGGTGGATGTGGTATATCTAGACTTTAGTAAGGGTCTCGCATGATATTCTTATCAATAAACTACGCAAATACAACTTAGATGGGGCTATTGTAAGGTAGGTGCATAACCAGCTGGATAACCATACTCAGAGAGTAGTTATTAATGGTTCTCGATCCTTCTGGAAAGGTATAACAAGTGGGGTTCTGCAGGGGTCTGTTTTGGGACCGGCTCTCTTCAATATCTTCATCAACAATTTAGATTGGCATTGAAAGTATGCTTATTAAGTTTGCAGATGATACCAAGCTGGGAGGGGTTGTGACTGTTTTGGAGGATAGACTCATAATTCAAAATGATCTGGACAAATTAGAGAAATGTTCTGAGGTAAACAAGATGAAGTTTAATAAAGACAAATGCAAAGTACTCCACTTAGGAAGGAACAATCAGTTTCACACATTCAGAATGGGAAGCCACTGTCTAGGAAGGAGTACGGCAGAAAGGAATCTAGGGGTCAGAGTGGACCACAAGCTAAATATGAGTCAACAGTGTGATGGTGTCACAAAAAAAGCAAACATGATTCTGGGCTGCTTTGACCCCAGTCTGTTTATTGACCCCTTAGTAATGCAGTTTCTAAGGTCCTTCCACCTCAGTCTAAGTCTGTGTGCCTCAAGTCTCTTCTGCCAGTCTCTGATTTAACGAATGATAGTCGGGTCTTGTCTTAAGGCTGGTGTTGATGATTTATTGCCCAGTCTCTAGATGACCCTCCTTGGTTATGGTGGGGATAGGGGGGCCCAGGCCCACCCTCACTCACAGGCCCCAGCCCAGGGCCCTAAGGACAAGGGGCCCTTGACTGTAGTCCTGTCTGACTGGCAGGGCTTTCCACCGCAACACGCCATTCCACAGGCCTATGTCCGTCACCCTGCCCTGGGCTACTTCCTCTCCCACTCCCTCCACCTACTTGCATGCATAGTTTCCCAGGTTCTCCCACCACCAGAGGATTCCAACAGGACCCCACATAGGGTCCTTTTCTCCTCCCCTCCCCTTGGCGTTTGTTACCGTCCTCCCTTGCCTCCTCTCCTCACCTCTCCAGTGCATTCTCACCCCCGCATTTAAATCCTCCTGCCGGCCCTCAGCGTCCCTGTCAACATGCCTCTTCCCCCCCCCCCAGGCCTCCCATCGTGTGCTCCGCCCCTTTCCTTGGGCATGCTGACATCAGCGGTATCATCTCACGCCTTTTCCCCATTTCCTCCTCCCCCTCCCGTGCCGCTGAAATCCTGGCATGGCTTGACATGGTGCGCCTGCGCAGCCAAACAGCCGGTGCATCACCGGTATCCTGCCCCTCACGTGGCGACCGGGGGATCTATAGTGCAGGGTGGTGCTGCTCCATCGCACACCTCCCCCTTTAGATTCCCTTTTACCCCTTGTCCTTCATCCTCCTCCAGGGCATCCAGTCTTGAGGAAAAAGTCCACGTTTTTATGCAATGATCTGGACTGGTGAACTACCTCGAAGGCGTAGGGCTGCAAAGAGAGACACCATCTCATAATATGCGCATTTGAGTCTTTTATGGCCTGCAACCATCGTAATGGGGCATGGTCTGTAACTACTCGGAACCAATTGCCCCATAGGTAGTATTGGAGCATATCGATGGCCCACTTTACTGCCAGGGCTTCTTTCTCTATAGTCCAGTATTTACACTCACAAGGGAACAGCTTACAATTTATGTGTATCACAGGGTGTTCTTCACCCCCCTTTTCCTGCGACAGGACAGCCCCCAACCCATTCTCTGAGACGTCTGTCTATAGGATGAAAGATTAATCGAAGTCTGGTTGTGCCAACATGGCAGCCCTGGTCAGCTGATCTTTTATCATGTGGAATGCTTGTTCACATGCCTCAGACCATGGTACTCTCCCGGGTAGTGCCTTCCGAGTCAAATCTGTCGGGGGCCGCTAAAGATGCGAAGTGTGGTACAAAGCGGTGGTAGTAGCCGGCCAACCCCAGAAATTGGCGGACTTGCCTCTTGGTTGTTGGGGTAGGCTAATCTCAGAGGGCCCCTACCTTGTCAATGAGTGGTTTCAACTGGCCCTACTGACAACATACCCCAGGTAGGTGACCTCTTGTTCTCTGAAGTGGCATTTGTTGGGATTTGCTGTGAGTCTCGCCTTCTGTAACAACCTTAGGACAGCCTCTACCCTTTGTAGGTGTTCTTTCCAGGACACACTATAAATCACTGTCATTGATATACGCCACTGCGTATCATCCATGCTCTCACAACACTTTGTCCATCAACCGCTGGAAGGTGGCGGCAGCCCCATGTAGTCCGAAGGGCATGAATACGAACTGCTACAACTCGAATGGGGTTGAGAATGTTGTTTTCTCTATAGATGTGGGGGCGAGGAGGATATGCCAATACCCTTTACTTAAATCGATAGTGGAGAGATATTGCGCTCCCCTGAGGTGGTCTAGCTACTCGTCTACCCGGGGCCTTGGGTAGGCATCAAAGAGGGATATACCGTTGACTTTACAGAAGTCAATACAAAATTGTCTTGACTCATCGGGTTATGGGACCAGGACGATTGGGCTCCTCCAGTCACTATGCAGCTCTTCAGTGACACCCCACCGCAGC